AGTTAATGTTATTTATTGATACATAATTCACATCCATAAAAGTCAACCCTTTTAAAGTGTACAATTCCATAGTTTTTAGTATATTTACAAAGTTGTGGAACCATCACTACTGTGTTAATTCCAGAATATTTCAACATCCCAAAAAGAAATGGCATACCCGTTAGCAGATACTCCTCGTTCCCTTCACAGGCAACCACTAATCTCCTTTCAGTGTCTAATCTCCTTTCAGTGTCTGTGGATTTGTCTGTTCTGGGTGTTTCATATAAATGGAATCAGATGATATATGATCTTTTCTGTCTAAATTCTTTCACATAACATGTTTTTCAGGTTCATTCATGTTGTAATGTGTACCAGTACTTTATTACTTTTATTGCCAAATAATATTCTGTGGAGGGATATCCATGTATTGATCTTATGGATATACCATGTTTCTTTAATTCATCAATTGATGAACATTTGAATTGTTTCCACTTTTTGACTATTAGGAGTAGTGCTACTCTGAACATCCTTTTGCAAGATTTTGCATAAACATAGGCTTGTTCACTTGATTAATTGCTGAGTCAGTGGTAACTGTTTAACCCTTTGAGGAACTCCCAGACTGTTGTCCCCTGTGGCTGTACCATTTTACATTTCTACCAACAGTGTATGAGCGTTCTGATTTCTCCACATTCTCATCAATATTTGTTATTATCTTTCTTTTTGAAGAAAATGATTAATGACTATCTAATGACTAATCATGTTGATCATCTTTTCATGTGCTTATTAGTGATTTATATATCTTCATTAGAGAAATACCAGTCCATACCTTTGCCCATTTTTATTTATTTTTTTTAAAGATTTTATTTATTTATTTGACAGAGAGAGATAGCGAGAGAAGGCAGCACAAGCAGGGGGAGTGGGAGAGGGAGAAGCAGGCTCCCCGCTGAGCAAGGAGCTCGAAACAGGGCTCTATCCCAGGACCCTGGGATCATGACCTGAGCCAAAGGCAGAAGCTTAACCATCTGAGCCACCCAGGCATTCCAGAGCACAACAGTTTTTAATCCTGATGAGTTCCAGTTTATCTTTTTTTCTTTAGTTGCTTGTGCTTTTGGTGTTATTATCTAAGAAATCATTCCATATCATTGGTACCAAGCCTCCCCAGTTGTTAATCTTTTACCACATTGTGTATTTGTGCATGCACTCAAGGTCTTTATCTGTCTCCATATGTGTATATATATACATATACTCATTATCTAGTGATCAGTCTTTTTTTTTTTTAATTCTTTGACATCAGACCAAAGGATGATCTTCCATAATCTCTAAATACTCTGGTGTTTCCCATACCTGAGGATACTGTACATGACCAGCATACAACACTCCAAAGTAGGAAATCAGCATTGATCCAACACTACCATCCAGTCCAAAGAATCCATTCAAATTTTGCCAGCTTTCCCAATTATGTGTTTCCTTCCTGATCCAAGATCCTTTCCAGTAATTTGTGTTTCATTATGAAATAGTTTATTAGCCTCTCATATCCTTTATGTTTTTCAAATGTGGAGCCTTACCTCTGTACATTCTGTAGAATGACCATCAGCTTAGGTTTAATGTCTCCTCATGACTGGACTCAGATCATTTATTCCTTTTTAATTCTTTCGGTAATAGTTTGATTGGGATATAATTTGATTACCACACAATTCACCCATTTGAATTCTGCAATTCAGTCTTTAATGTATTCACAAAGCTGTGCAACCATTTTTATCCCTCCAAAAGGAAACCCTGTACTCTTTTTTACCCCTAGATCCCCCTTTTCGCAACCCTAGGTAACCACTAATCTACTTTCTATCTCTATAGATTCACCTATCCTGGACATTTCATATAAATGGAATCATATAATATATGGCCTTTTGTAATTGGCTTTCTTTACTTAACATAATGTTTTTAAAGTTCATCCATGTTGTAATATATATTAGTACTTCATTTCTCTTTAAAGGTAATTTTTTTTAAAGTTTTTATTTATTTATTTGACAGAGAGAGAGAGAGCGAGAGAAGGCAGCACAAGCAGGGGGAGTGGGAGAGGGAGAGGCAGGCTTCCCGCCGAGCAGAGAGCCCGATGTGGGGCTCGATCCCAGGACCCTGGGATCATGACCTGAGCCGAAGGCAGACGTTTAACGACTGAGCCACCCAGGCGCCCCAGTACTTCATTTCTTCTTATTGTTCATCATATTCCTTTGAGGAGAATTGCTGGGTCATATAGTAACTCCATGTTACTAGCAGTATATGAAAATTCTGGTTTCTCCCCATCCTCATTAGCACTTGTTATTGTCTTTTTTATTATAGCCATCCTAGTGGGTGTAAAGTGGTATCTCATTGTGGTTTTATTTGCATTTATGTAATGACTAATAATGTTGAGCATCTTTTCCTGACCACGTTGGCCATTTGTGTATCTTTGGTGAAATGTCTGTTCAGGTCCTTTACCTATTTATTTTTAGGTTGTCTTTTTGTTTGTGGGTTTTAAGAGTTTTTTATATGTTATGGATACTAGACCCTTATTGAATATGGTTTGCAAATAATTTTCCATTCTGTAGTTTGTCTTTTCACTTTCCTCATAGTGCCCTCTGAAGCATAATAGTTTTTAATTTCGATGATTAAATTTTTTTCTTTGTCGTTTGTGCTTTCAACGTCACAGATTTTCATATATTTTCTTCTAGGAGTTTTATAGTTTTATCTCTTACATTTAAGTCTTTGGTACATTTTGAGTTAATTTTTGTGTATGGTATGAGGTAGAAGTTCAACTTCATCCTGTTATATTGCAGCTACTTTGGTTGAAAGATTATTCCTTCCCCATTGATTTTTTTGGAGGCACCCTTTTCAGAGATAAGTTAATCATAAATGGAGGGTTTATTTTTGTATTTTCAAATCTGTTGATTTGTAGGTCTTTCCTTATTTCAGTACCACTCTGTCTTTATTATTATTGCTTTGTAGTAACTTTTGAAATTGGGAAGTGTGAGTCCGCCAACTTACCCTTTTTTTAAGATTGTTTTGACCTCTTCTCGGTCTCTTATATTTCCAACTGAATTTTAGATTTGGTTTGTCAATTTCTGCAAAGCCTGCTGTGATTCTGATAGAGATTGCATTGACTGTATATCAGTTTGGGAGTACTGCCACCTTAAAAATATTAAGTCTTGGGCGCCTAGGTGGCTAGTTGATTGAGCAGCCAACTTTTGATTTCTGCTCAGGTCATGATCTCAGGGTCGTGAGATGAGCCCCTTGTCGGGCTTCACACTCAACAGGGAATCTGCTTGAAGATTCTCTCCCTCTGCCCCTCCCGCCACTTGCGCACACTCTCTTTCTCTAAAATAAATAAATAAATGTTTAAAAAGAAGAATATTAAGTCTTTTGGTCCGTGAACATGGGATGCCCATTTATATAGGTCTTCAATTTCTTTCAACATTTTTGTAGTTTTCGTAATGAGGTCTCATATATATCTCATATATCTATATACACACATAAGACACACACATGAACTCACATGTACACATGCGAAGCACATATACAACTCTAGAATAGTGCCTGGCTCATAGCTAGTGTTATATCTTTGTTACTAATTTTCCTATATGTCTTTAACATTTTGGGGAAGGTGGATTAAAATAGATAAATAATTATTGAAAATCATTTAACGTTTATTTAATTTCTAAAAAGTATTTGTTTAGATTTGTTTATTTTAGAGGGAGTGTGTGCGTGTGCATATGTGAGTGGGGAAAGGGGCAGAGGGAAAGAATCTTCAAGCAGAGTCCCCACTGAGCACAGAGCCCATCACAGGGCTTGATCCCACAGCCCATGAGATCATGACGTGAGCCAGAACCAAGAGTCTGATGCTAACTGACTGAGCCACCAAGGCACCACGTTATTTATTTTATTTTAATTTATTTTTAAATTTTAAGGTTTTTAAAATATTTAATTATTTTTAAAACTTAAATAGGCTCCATGCCCAACATGGGGCTTGAACTCACGACCAGTAGAGGTCACATCCTCTACCATCTGAGCCAGCCAGGCACCCTTTAAGTTACTTTTACTTTATCCTTTAATAGAAGTAACATGTTTAGGGGATCCTAGGTGGTTAAGCAGCTGACTCTTGATTTCTGCTCAGGTCATGATCTCAGGGTCGTGGGATCGAGCTCCGCATTGGCTCTGTGCTGGGCGGGGAGTCTGCTTAAGATTCTTTCTCTCCCTCTCCCTCTGCCCCCCCCAGAATAAAAAAAATAAAAAAATAAATAACATGTAAAAAGTATCGGTTATAATGTCAAGTGTAAACAAGCAGGAAACTATGTATGTATAGTATCCCATTTTTGTAAAATCTGTATCTGTTTCTTAAGTGATGTGCATAAAAAAATTGGGAGGAAATACATCAGAAGATTAACTGCTTATTTCTGGCTTGAAGGATTATCATGATTTTCAGTTTTTCTGGTATTCCATTTTGAACATGTATATGTACATAATACACACAAGTAAAGAATAGTAGATAAAGTTATTTTTAGTAGTACAGTAAGCATGTAGAGTTTATTTATATTTATTTATTAGCATATAGAGTTTAAGAATAACTGATTTACTCCTGAGGTGACTTTTATCATTATATGAGAATTCACATTATATAATATAATGTGAATTATATTATCTGTCTTGCCTACTTTGTTAGGCACGTTGTTGTAAGATTATAAAGAGATAAACATACCTATATTTTGTGAATTGTAAAGCCCTGTGGAAATATATGAAAGAAAACACACTGCTCTTCAGAAATCTGGAGACATCATCTTTATTTGTGGGTAAAGCTTGAGTAGTAGTAGCCTTTGGGTTGTTTCTGCGTTGGTAGTGGTGTTTTAATAGCATTGATGTTCCACACTTTTAAGATTTTACAAGGAGTTAACATTTATCCTTGCAAGTTTTTTAAAGTTACCATTCTGTTACTAACTTACTGGGATTTAAAATGGTATCTAATGGCATCATTCAAATAATTTCTCTACCAGGCATGGATGGGCAGAAGCCTTTGCAGGTATCAGAAGTTCACATATCAAATACATCTGCCCACATGCGTAAGTATTTTAATCTTTACGTTTGTGATTCAGAATCTGGAGAGGAATAATTGTGATAGCTTTATTTTTGTAGAAAAGCATTTGAATATAATTAGTTTTTATCCTTTTAAATAATACAGTTTAAAAATAAAGATTAGTAAATTATTTAAAACTAAACTGGTAACTTGGCTACATAGAATTTTTTTTGGGGGGGGAAATTTAAAATAATGCTTTCTTGGAGGTCAATTGAACTCAGAGCTAGAAAAATTCCTTTAGATATACAAACATCTGAGATCTAAGGATATCCATGAGGTATCTCTGAAGGGGATTTATTTATTTGTCAGGTTTGTGAGAGATCTTTATTTACTATGTTGAAAACACTCCTAAATTTTATCAGCTAAAGGCAATGTGTGTGCTGTGGAAAGAACACAGGTTTTAAAGTCTGATAGATTTGGTTTTGAATTCTGAAAATGTTTGTGGATGTCAGAAACTATAAAGTTTTGAGCAAACTCAGAAAATTGCTGAGATTGGCAAGGTTTTAAGTCAAAAGGTTGCCGAGAAACAATAGCTGTGGAGAAGACAAATGGGATTAGATACGTGCTCGTAGGTTAGTAATTCATCCTCAGAAGTGGTAGTAGCAGTAGAGCTGATAAATGTGAAAGAGGAAATGGAAAGAGGAAAAATATCTGATGAGGTAAGAAAACTTCTTTCCCCTTTTTATCCTGAAATAGAAGGTTTATCTGACCTCTGTAGGCTACAGCTGAATACTATGGCAAGAATGTCTGTGTCCTATTATTCTGATTCATTATGAGACAGAATTCTTGATTATATTAGAATTTCTGCTGTATTGTTATTGGCCCCAGGACTGATTTGATTTAAGGCTATTTCCCAGTCTAGGGAAGTTCATGTTCTCAAAGAAATTTTGATAAGATTTTGTGACCTCTAAGGTGGACTTGTTTCATGAGTTAGGAGGTTAGTGGTAGGATGTAATTCTAGTGTATTTATTTTTCTTTTCTTTTGTACCTAGCTATATTCAGGTTACCCAGCAGATTTTTCATCACAGACCTGAATTGGGTATAGTGGACACTTAGGCAAAACTTATATTTCCCATATTTATTTAGAGGTCTCTTAAATAACCAAGTATGTAGATAAAACTTAGAATATAAGCAAAAATGTAATCTGACCGTCTGAGAATTGATGTACTATATCTGTGCAGTAAATTGCTCATTTCCTAAACCCTTAGCCAGAGTCTCATATTTTATACATTTCCAACTCTCTTGGTTACTTGTTTTCCTTGTCATGTCTGGTTTGAAAATATTAAATAAGGGAGTTGAGAAAGGAAAATATTTTTTATTTGCCAAGCTTAGTCCTTTCCAGCTGCTGTTCCATCTTCAGAATACATTTGGAGGATACGTAGAAAAAATGACACAGGTGTGGATGCAGTGACACAGTTCAGTTCATATGTTAAAATTGTAGCATACAGTTTTGTGTAAGCCTCAAGTAATTATCTATTCTTAATTGATGAAATTTATCAGGTTTTATGCCTTGTTACATTACTCTTATTTTGCTGTTTTTTTTCTTTCCCATGTAGACCAATTATGCCTGTAACATTGAATATGAACATGGCTATGCCTTCTTGGTAAGTATCAGTAAGAACTTATTTATACTTAGTTTTTGTCTTTTCCTTTTTTTTTTTTTAACTGGAAGTGCTTTTCCATGTAGCAATTTTTAATTAGCTATTTTTATGTTGCAAAGTTATACAATTAAATTTAACCTTAAAGCTTTTTATTTTAGACTCAGGTTTAAACTTAAGGAGCTGCACCAACAGGTAGAGAAACAGGAGAAAATGGGTAGACAGAAATACTGTAGAAAATATCTCTTATTGCTTGATAAACCTTTGCTGGTTTCAGTGACCCAACATTTAAATGACCCCATGTGGCATACACTCTAATTAAGCAACAGCCTTTCACCCTTCCAATATCTTGCCTTCCTGGAGAGTTGACAAGTTTTTAAGGAAACCACTTCCTCTTCCACCCTCTCAAGATATTTTCACATTCCCTTGTATTTTTTTTAATTTATTTTTTTAAGTCTCTTAGGGGTCTTGTTTCAGTTTCTACCATGGAAGTAGGACAATAAAAGCAGCAGATTGGTAAAAGCCATTCTTTCTCATCAAAATCTAGTTCAGTGATGCTTAGTGTCATTTTAATGATGTTTAAAATTGTTTAAAATTTTTTATTTCTTTAATTAACATATAATGTATTTGTTTCAGGGGTACAGGTCTGTGATTCATCAGTCTTACACAATACCTAGCACTCACCACAACACATATCCTCCCCAGTGTCCATCACCCAGCCACCCCATTCCCCCATCTGCCTCCCCTCCAGCAACCCTCAGTTTGTTTCCTAAGATTAAGAATCTCTTATGGTTTGTCTCCCTCTCTGGTTTTGTCTTGTTTAATTTTTTTCCTCTCTTCCCCTATGATCCTCTGCCTTGTTTCTTAAATTCCACATATCAGTGAGATCATACGATAATTGTCTTTCTCTGATTGACTTATTTTGGTTAGCATAATACCCTCTAGTTCCATCCATGTCATTGCAAATGGCAAGATTTCATTTTTTTGATGGCTGCATAATATTCCTGTGTGTGTGTGTGTGTGTGTACGTGTACACCACATCTTTTCTGGACATCTGGGCTCTTTCCATAGTTTGGCTATTGTGGACATTGCTGCTATAAACATTGGGGTGCAGGTGCCCCTTCAGATCACTACATTTGTATCTTTGGGGTAAATACCCAGTAGTACAATTGCTGTGTCATAGAGTAGTTCTATTTTCAACTTTTGGAGGAACCTCCATACTGTTTCCCAGAGTGGCTGCACTGGCTTGTATTCTCACCCTTGTGTGTTTTATAGTCAGGAAGTAGTCATTTCTTTGTTCCTCTAAGCTACTTCCAGTCTGTTGTCATCTTGTACTCTCTTCTTGTTCCTACCCGTTTCTTATCCACCCCTTCACTTCCTTTTTCTCTCTTCTGGATTCCTTAGAAGCTTTTACAGATTCCTGCCTACTTTGCTCATTGGTTCTTTCATCATCCCTCTCTGGCAAAATTCTCATCCAGAACCAAAATTTTTAGCTAATGTGGCTAGAGACCATAATGAAAGGATGTAACTTGATAGAGAAATGGAAAGGGCCAGAGGAAAGCTTCCCTTGGGTCTCTAGTTGGAGGTATCTACTATGTGTGATGAAAATGTTTTGCAGAATGTGGATAGAGCTCAGTATAATTCCTCTGCTCAATACTTATGAAGGTAGTAGTGCATGCGAGAATAACATGGTAAAGTAGTTCTGTTCCATTGGATTGACTTATGATGCAATAGAGGGAAAGGAATGGCTGGAATTTATTGCAAACTTTTTAGAGGGATGTCCGATGAGATTCCTGCTTGGCTGTAAGATTGGACTAGGTATTTTCTTAGATGTTCTTACCCTAAAATTATGTGGCATTGTGATTTTTTAACATTAGAATCTGTATCTAGTTGGTGAAAGGAACATGTAGAATGTCATAATCACATATTTAAGTTAATTTTTTGGCCTCTGTAGACATTTTGAGTTTCATGTTCATGGTTAGCTCTTTTTATCCTGAGTTTAGTGAAACATACTTACCATGAGTACATATTTTTAGAATCAAGTAGCTCTTTTAAGATTTTGCCTTATTTTCCAGGTTTGATATTACTGGGCTTTCAGTAGATTCACAGGAGGATGAACCTGGAATTAAACAGGCAGCAGAAAATGGTGAGTACAGAAACATAAAGACAAAAGCATTCTTATTTTAGTAGGTTCAATAGTTTTATTGATGTTGATGAAATAATACACAATTATCTGAACTTAGGAGGTGATGCTATTTCCTTCCTTTCTGATCAGACTCTAACTTGTTTGCCACGATGGCCCCATGGACTCCCTTAACTATAAATGAAGATGAGGTGAATGGGAAGAATGGCCTTTATCAAACTTCATCTCTGTTGGATACATAATTTTGCTTTGATTTACATAGACTAATGGAGAAAATAGCAATTTAATAGTTGTGGCCATTTATCTTCATTAAGGAGACTTGAAATAAGGATGGGTATAGTGATACAATCATATATAACACAATTTATGTTGGTTAATTTTAGTGTGGTAATAATAAATGCCACTGATTGAATACTTAGCTGTTAAAGAAGCCAGGTAATTCTTGTAAAACATCTCATTTAACACTGCTATGACATAAGTCTTGGCTCTACTTTACAGAATCTCCAAAGTGTATTCTCTGGTTGGTATTCCATTTTCCTTATGGACATGGTAATTCCGTTTATTTTTAGGGTGAAAGCATAAAGAACACTAGCTTATTGGGAGAAATCTAGTTTTAGAAAATGTATAGAGGCATAAAAAAAGAAAAAAGAAAATGTATAGAGGCATCCTTTTATGTATGTACTGAGGTATTTACAAATAGGTGGGATCACTGGGATTGACTTGAGAATAATTGGGTGGTGGCGCAGCAGGTATTGATGAAACAAGCCTGGCTGTGAATTGATAGTTGCAGAAGTGAGGTGATGTGGACCTGGGAGTAACTGCACACTCTTTCTGTTTTTAGATTTGTTTGAAAATTTCCAAAATAGCTTAAAAACCAGTAGGATCCTTTTAAAAAATGTTTTTAAAGAACTCTTAAAAACTTTAAAACAGGGAAGATACACTCAAAATGCAGTGGAGATTTGAGACTGTCAAACCAAGAACACTGGCTTTTTTAGGATCATCAATAAGTAGGTCAAATCAAGAATCCTAGAGCTAGGATTTTTTCTTTTTTTTTTTTTTTAAATGTTATTTATTTGACAGAGAGACACAGTGAGAGAGGGAACACAAGCAGGGGGAGTGGGAGAGGGAGGAGCAGGCTTCCCGCTGAGAGGGGAGCCCGATGCGGGGCTCGATCCCCGGACCCCGGGATCATGACCTGAGCTGAAGGCAGATGCTTAATTACTGAGCCACCCAGGCGCCCCAGGATTTTTTCAAACAATAATAAATGACAAAAATAGGTATTGGGTTTGGGAGTGAGTTGTTAGAACTTGTGGAAGATAGGGAGGGGCAGGGCCTTGTGGAGAAGACTGGTAAGCCTGGTGAGTTCCAGAGTGAAAAGTTCCATCCTAGTGATAGAGTTGGCCTGTGACATACGAGGCATTTCTTTCCTTTCCAAGGTGATGTATTATTGGAGAAAGTGAGGCTCAGACTCAGAGCTAGGAAAGAATGGAGCCTCCGTTTGAGGCCTAAAAGAGTAAGCTCCTGAACAAAGAAGAGAGCGTTCAGGTTAGGTCCAGGGAGCACAGTGGTGCCCTCGCCCTTATGCAAAAGGTGATTGAAATTGGAATGCACTGCTCCACCGCTGATGTCTTTGTAGTTTGTCAACATTATCTCAGCGCTTGGTGTAACCTTGAGGGGTAAAGCTTTGTGAAACTCGGGGGGAAGTAGTCCCAATAGCTTGCCAGTGGCAAGTGAAGCAGAGGGAGAGGGACAAGCAGACTCTGTGCTGAGCACGGAGCCTAACGCTGGGCTTGATCTCACAACCCTTAGACCATGACCTGAGCTGAAATCAAGAGTTGCTGCCTAACCTACTGAGCCACCCAGGCTCAATCCTGCCACTTCCGCAGTCTCCATCTGACTGAGGCTGTGCCATCTCCCTAAATAAATCCCTCACATTTCTCAGCACTTCTTTTATTTCTTAAGCCCCCTTTGCTGTTCTGTAGCCCATTCTTCCATGCCATAGTCAGGGCATTACTTTTCATACTCATTCTAACTCAGTACTAAACTTTATATAAAATTTTTCATTTGGGCATTTGTTTTTTGCAGTGTTTTAGAAAAAAACAGATTTTTATTTTTTAATAGAAAGGAAGAAATACGAAGTTGGAAATTTTAATCTTGAAAAATGAAACTCTTGGGGCATCTAGGTGGCTCAGTTGGTTAAGCATCTGCCTTTGGCTCAGATCATGATCCTGGGGTCCTGGGATGGAGCCGTGTGTTGGGCTCCCTGCTCAGCGGGGAGTCTGCTTCTCCCTCTCCCTCTGACCATCACCCCTGCTCGTGCTCTCAATTATGCTCTCTCGCTCAATAAATAAAAAATCTTTTAAAAAAAAGAAACTCTTGCACATATGTAAAAATGAAACGACATAGTTTGTGTAGTTACTAAAAAAAACACTGGACAGATTATAAAGAAAAAGGAAATTCTAGGAGTCATCAACTTTTATAGTTAATGATCTGTGTCAAAGTATTTTGTAGAAACAAAAGAACTCATTTGATTTTTTTTCCTGCATCATTTACTGGCTATAGGAAAAATTAGTACTGTAGTTTTTAAAAATAATAGAATGAACTTTTTAAACACTATAAATCACAAACTGTGTAATATACTTTATTTATATTTTAAAATGGTAACTTTTAGGTACAAATCCTGTGATTCATTGGAGAGAAATATAAATGTATATGAGCAGAATTGACCATAGATAAAAGAGTATCTGTTGATTGATAAGAGAAAGAACTGTTTATAAATTATGTAAGAAATAATTGAACAGTTTAAGCAACACCTGCAAAATGAGTTTTATAATGAAAATACATTCTAGGTTTGTATTTTAGTAGAGTGCTTCAAGTTTTTCACTTGTTTCGACCTTTAATATACTTTGTGCTTTTCTGTAATTAATTTTATCCTATTTAAAATGGTATCTTTAGGCTTAACTTTGAAAGTATTAGTGATTTAATTTTATATTGTTTTTAGTAAAAGCTTTGATAGAGCAAGAGGTGAAGAATGGCATTCCTTCTAACAGAATTGTTTTGGGAGGATTTTCTCAGGTAAGATAAAGTTTGGGTGATATGTCATTGGTATATTTAGGAGTCTGTGGGTTCTGTCCTTTTCTATGGAGGAGTCTTTTTTTTAGTACATGTTACAGAATCTGATATACTGGGTTTTTTTAATGTATATATACTGTTACCTTTAATGCTGAATTAAGTTTGAATGGACTAGATATAGTTAATTATGATAATATACTGTTTTGCTTTTTTAGTTTTCTCTCCAGCAATTGCCTTCAACTTCTAGATTATGTCTTGAAAATCAGTTTATTAATAAGTAAATTGATTAGAACTTGGAATATATTTTCTTAATTAGGAACATGTAGTTTAGGTATCTAAGTTGATGCTGTGTACCCCTTTAAACAAAATTCTAATTTAATAAACACAAGTATAATTCCCCTGTCCTAGGAGGAGACTACTGATAGGAACAGTAAAATAGAAAACAAGAGAATTTCTTTGCTCTTTTTATCACAGATTCCCAGTGGTTGAGCCCCACAAACTCCCACCCTTGGGGCAAAAATCCAAGTAGGGGCTCCCACAAAGTGTCCCACAATGTTGGAGGTTGCTGGTTGTTCCCCCTGGGTTCTCTTCTCCCACGACAGGAACCAGACACTCTGGGGATACTCTCCAGGTGGTGCTGCAGTGGCTTGGGAGAGGGGCAGTGCAGTCAGCATATAGCCATTTCTCTTACCTTTCAGTGTGGTCTCTCTTGGTCTCTTTGGTGCAGGGGATGGTGCCTCAGCCTCACGCTCTACCCTCCATGTGCTAAGAGTCTCTCAGTGGTGTCCTTTCCATGATTAGATGTTAGACCTATATCCCATCATGCTGATGTCACTCTATCATCTTTATTCTTCTTGTCTTATAAAATAGATTGTAGATTTAAATATGTGATGGTTTATTTTGGCATCTTTCTTCTTCTTTCTGTACTTTTTCTCCTACCTTATATACTTTTTCTGCAGACGTAGTTACCTCGTATTGACCTTAGATCTTTCTTTCAGCTTATCACATGTTCACCTTTTCACCCATCCCAAATTGCTCTAGCTTCTAATCTGTAAAGCTTCTAAATCAACAACTTAGTGTTCAGACTACCTGAATTAGGACAATGTCAGAATTATGGAATTCTTTAGAAGTTAGAATTCAGTAGATAGATAGTTTGTCAATAAAATAAAAAGATGTTCCTGGTTTGGTATTTGTTGAAGTCAAGATAATGTCTATTGTAATGCACATTGTGATGTAGATGTAGGTACAGAAATGAATGCTTGATTCAAATAAAAAAGCTAACATAGGAGACTGTATAGTTGAGATTTGTTGATTACAATTTACAGAAAGGAATTCCTCTTACCTTAAGCAAGAAAGAGCAGGTTATGAGTCTGTGGGATCACATCAGGAAAACCAAGGATGAGAATGAATCAGAGCCTCAGGAAATAGCTAAGATTTGGAAAGCCCTCACGGCTTTCTCTCCATCTCCTGTTTTTTCTGCTCATCTGCTTCATTTGCCTCTTCCTTTACAGTTGGCGCTCTGCACCTTTGCAGCCTATAGCTTTTCCAGTTCTTGAATTTACAGGTTACCATTCCAGCCACCCAAAGAGACAGACTGACAGTCACTGAATCCCAATTTCAAAATCTTGAGAAAAGGAACATGACTATCTTGGATGAGAAAGAATCTGATGTTCTCATGAGGCCTAGTGACCCACAGCACAGGCATGGTCAGAGTGACGTGGCATCCAGATAACTAATGGGAATGCTCTTCCCAGAGCGCAGGGTATTGTAAGCTGGGTCGACGGACACTCTGAAGGTGTCTGCTACAGAGTCCTTATTATCTTGACTTTTTGTTGTAGAAAAGATTACCAGCTTAAGACTAGGTTTGATTTTATACCTAAACTTTTCAGAGGAGCAAATAAGTATGTTTAGAATGTTTCTAAGGCAGTTGTAAGTGCATTTAAATATACAATTAACTGTTTCTTAACTGACTGGGTGGTTGCTATGTTCTCACAGTGATCTTCAGTGTAGAGAATCATGTCCTTTAGGACATGGTGGGGTGGAGTATGTATATATTTCTGCTAGCTTGCCTGATTTGATTTGACATCAACCACACAGGTTGATTTTTTTCTTTAATGGACATCATTAATAACAAGAAATCTCTGAAGTTGCTGCTAGCAGAGGATGTGTTCCATTGACTTTTCTCTGCTTGTTTTTCCAGGGAGGAGCTTTATCTTTATACACTGCTCTCACCACACAGCAGAAACTGGCCGGTGTCACTGCACTCAGTTGCTGGCTTCCACTCCAGGCTTCATTTCCACAGGTAGCCTGAGTGATACCTGTAACATTACTGATAATGTTGGGGAGAGGTTCATTTTTTTTTTTTAAATTAATCAACTATATATTTTTAGAGAAGTTTAAGTTCATAGCAAAGTTGAGCAAAAAGCACAGTAAGTTCCCATCGGTGCATAGGCTATGGACACCCTGCAAGCCTGTGGTACATTTGTTAGAATGTGTCAGATCATCACCCAAAGCCCATAGTTTATATCAGTCATCCTTTTTAAAAAATAATTTTCCTGGACTTCTGTGATGTACTAGTAGGCTTTATTTGAATACTATATTGTCTTTATTGTGGATTGCAGAGACTGGAGTAAGAAATAAGTCCTTTTGTCATAAATTTTATATTTGAAGTGTTTCATACATTTTAAAATGTATATATAAATTAGGGCAGTATTTTACACATACAATATTTTCAAAAGTTCAGTATTTTTACTGCTCAATAGCAGAATTTTACCATAGAATAGAATTTCTAAGTACTCAGTAGTGTAAAGCAATATATAATACACATGGGAGAAGTGGACATTTATTGTCAAATTTACTTTTAAATCTAGAATTTTTTTCCTCATCACTATATAGTAATTCTTTGGTGTCTTACACATACTATCTTATTTATTAAGATAGTTTATTAACATCTTATTTAAATCAATTAAATAAGAACTGAGAAGAACATGATTCAGTTAAAACATACATCTCATCTCAAGACACTGTGAACATATAAAGAATAAGAAAGAGTCTTCTTCAAGGAACCACTTCATTGGGAAAACAGTAATACGAGACAGGGTAGGGGCACCTGGGTGGCTCATTTGGTTAAGCGTCCGACTCTTGATTCCAGCTTAGGTCATGATCTCAGGGTCATGAGATCAAGCCCCATGTCAGGCGCTCTGCTCAGCTGGGAGTCTACTTGAGATTCTTTCTCTCCCTCTGCCCCCTCCCTGCTTGCGCGCTCTCTAAATAAATTAAATCTTAAAAAAAAAGCAAGACAGGGTAATCATATGTCCTATAAAAGTTTAACTAAAGAGTTGTGGGGAGCATAGGGATAGAAGGAATTTTAGTTCTGTGGCCGAATAGAACCTATGATGTATGTGCATATCTATCTATAGTTGTATGTGCATATCTATCTATAGTTGTAAATGCCTGGCATATAATACTCTATACATTTGAATAAATAATACTAGTTTTCTTTTATTTTTTGCAGGGGCCTATCAGTGGCATTAATAGAGATATTTCTATTCTTCAGTGCCATGGAGATTGCGATCTGTTAGTTCCCCTAACGTTTGCTTCTCTTACTGCCGAAAAGCTAAAAACATTAGTAAATCCAGCCAATGTAACCTTCAAAACCTATGAAGGCATGAGGCACAGTTCATGTCAACAGGTAATTGGAAGGAGTGATTACAGACACATATTTGCAACTTTCTTCATGTGATATTTTTAACATAAGTAACATTTGATTGCTTGGGTAGTTAAAAGAGTTAATGAATTCGCATAGAATCATAGGTTGGCAGGATTTAGATCAGCATTTATTCAATTTAATTCAACAAACGTTCACTGTTTTCCTATTACATGCAAGCTTTGTACATAATTCAGAGACAAAAAACAGTCCTTTTTATTAAAATGTAAGCTAAATTAATAAAATTTAAAATTTAATAGGGGAGAATATATATCCAAATAATAGTGTAGAAAACAGAATGTGGTAAGTGTTATATTAGAAGTTTTTAAAGTTCCCTAAAACACTGAGAAGAGTGAGATTAATTTTATCTTGAGAAGTACTGAGATCAGGAAGAAAAAGCTAGATTTAGAAGAATGGGTAGGATTTTGATAGCAAGTGTGCAGAGAAAGGGAAAGGGAAAGCAAGCTGTCCAGTTGGGCCATAGTATTATGAAGAGCTGTCTGTCCTAGAGCAGGATGCCATTCATAAAGTAGGTACAAGGAACAGTTTTAGGGTAACCGGAAGGAGATAATACTGAGTTTATTGAACATACTGAGATTGATATACCCCCCATGATAACAAAATGGGATGTTGGAAATATTTGTCTGAAGCTCAAGCCTGTAATAGAGATTTAGAATAATTGCCAATATTATTAATCACTGAAGAATTACCATGGGAGAATATCATGAGAAAAAAGCTGAGGGATAGAACTTGGGAGGGGATTAGAAGGAGTTAAATGTGGAATGAGAGTGCAGGAGAGAATTTCAGTACAGCACCTGGCTGGCTCAGTCGGAAGAGCGTGCAACTCTTGATCTTGGGTTTGTGAGTTTGGGCCCCACGTTGGGTGTAGAGATTACATACATACATACACAAACTTTTTAAAAAATTGGTTAGGTTATTTAAGAAAAAAAAGAAAAAGGGGGTTCCTGGGTGGTTCAGTGAGTTAAGCATCTGCCTTTGGCTCAGGTCATGATCCCAGGGTCGTGGGATTGAGTCCCATATCGGGCTTCCCTGCTCTGTGGGGAGCCTGCTTCTCCCTCTCCTGCCTCCCCCCCACTCGTGCTCTCTCTCCCTCACTCTCTCTTCCTCTATGTCAAATAAATAAAATCTTAAAAAAAAAGAAAAAAAGAATTGTAGAGTGGGAGGGAACAGTGTCCCATGATTCGGAGAATGATTGAGGAAAAATAGGCCGGGAAGAAACTACCCAATAGTAAGCCATCTGTGACCTTGGATGTTTGGGGAGATGGAGCCTGCAGTGGATTGTGTAAAGTGGATAGAGAAATGGGAAAAGTAGAGGCAACATGTATCAACCTTTATTAAAAAGGTTTTTGTGAAGGGGGAAAAAAGTAAAAAAAACTCTCTTTAATGGATGGGAGAAAAAGACTCCCTTGGCGGGGGAGGGAGGAAGAAAATGTGATGAAGAGAGGATAATAATCCAATGGGAGAATCTTAGGGAGATCTAATAATGTAAATAAGCCTTAAAATGGATAGTGCTTGCCTTCAAAGAGGAGAACAACACTTAAGAATCTAGAAGAGGGTGGATGAATATGAACAAGGATTGCTGAGGTAGTACTAGTTGAGAGTTCACATTAGATCCTCTTTGTCTTTTAAGTAAAGTAGGAGATATGGTCACTCAATAAGAATGAAGGAGGCCTGCATCGGTTTGGAGGCTTGGAAAGGCCTAAAATAAAAATTAATTGCCAAGCATTGAGGTAGTCCCTAACAAAACTGTTTTGTAACCACTCAGCCTGGCTGAATCATTTGTTTTACGGACAGAGAAAAGTGTTAGTAATATGATTTATCCAGAAAGATAAGGGGGCCTGGGATTCTAGCCTGTTATTGAGAACGTAGTTGAAACCATCAGCAAGTGCTGAATCCAGAAAACAGGTGGGCTGGCACTCTGAGTATCCAGGAGGGACCGAGGGTCTAGAGCATTGGTTTCCAAAGTAGGCTTTATATCACAAATACCCTGGAGCTTAAACATTCAGACACCAGAACTCCAAACTCCACAATTCTGATTCAGCACATTGGGGGTTAGCAGGTATACTCAGGTATTTGTGTTTATACGGATGTGTTTTTAAAATAAAAGTTCCAGGGACGCCTCAGTGGCTCAATGGGTTAAGCAGCTACCTTCGGCTCAGGTCTTGATCCCAGGGTCCTGGGATTGAGTCCTGCATTGGGCTTTTTAGTAGGGAGCCTGCGTCTCCCTCTGCTTGCTGCTCTCCCTGCTTGTGCTCTCTCTCTCTGACAAATAAATAAAATCTTAAAAAAAAAAAAAAGATGCTGTTTACCTAATCTCTACACTCAGTGTGGGGCTGGAACTTACCTGAGATCAAGGGTCGCACTGTTTGCACACCCCAAGCATGTAACTTGAGCTCAGGGTTGTGTGATCAACCCCCAAGTTGGGCACAGAGCTTACATAAAAAGAAAAAAAAGGTAAAATAAAAGCTGAGGATTCTTTGTGCAATCACATTGGAGAACATTGGACTGAATGATGAGCAGAAAGTGAGAAGAGGTAAAACGGTAGGAGGTATTGTCACCAGGAAACTTCCAGGACTTTAGAGCATTGTAAAATAGAGCACTTCTGTGCTGTGGCTTTATTTTCCAAGTGACTAAATTATAAGGGTGAAGGTTCTTTGCATGGCTAATTTGTGAGTCTGTGGGGTTAAGCCTTGAAATACTAGAGGTTATAGTAGGAAATTATTTGAGGGGAGTGAGAAAACCGAACCACATGGCAGTCTTATAGAAACGTTTCTTTTGTAATAAATACTTGATATATTCTTTTTCATCCAGGCCTATCATAGGTACATGCTGTCTTTTAAATGGTTGGTTGTATGTAAATCCTTGTGAAAGGCACAAAATATTTTCTGCTTCGAATTTAGCATTTCATTCTAATGAGGGAAAGTTAAAAGCTAGGTTTTTCTACCCATGCTTAGTTGACAGTAATTATATCCTTACTGATATTCCTCTGGATAGGTTTTGTTACTTCTAAGCCCCCTTCTCTCCACCCAACCCCTGTGTTTTATTTTGTTCAGGTATAGCAAAGTGCAGACCATTATCATGGGACTGCATAATAGTTGGGAGCTATCATTTGAATGTACAATAATAATCCTAGTCTCAGGAGATGTTCTGAAATTTCTACTGAAGCCTCATTTCTGTTACAATTTTTCATTTAATTGAAGTAGTAAAAATATGGTTTCACCTTACCTAAGCACACCACAAATTTAGTTGGTGGTATTTTAGTGGGGATTTAATTTCTGATTTTGTAACTGCTTATTAAATCACTTTATTCCAAACAGGAAATGATGGATATCAAGCAGTTCATTGATAAACTTCTACCTCCAGTTGATTGATGTCACTAAGAGGCCTTCTGTAGAAGTGCACACCAGCATCATTGTAGTAGCGTATAAATCTTTTCCCGTGCCCAGTCTTGAAACTTCTAATGTTTTCAGTGTTAAAATGTTTTGCAAATACACACCAATGATACAGACTACATGATACTCTCTCCTTGTGGGAAAGATGGTCTTCTTTTAAGTTTCTATACCTGTATTTGTATAATATGATTCAGAATATACTAATATTAAAATAGGTGAAGCAGCTAAGCTTCTTTTTCCCAAAGTAATTCAGCAAAATAATAAAATACTGTAACCAGATTTTTTATTACGTCATTTGACAATTATTAGTATGCTTAATGAAAATTTGTTTAGGTACAAATGAGCAGTTAAGATATAAATGACTTATGCATGCTGTGACTTAGTCTATGGACTTATTCCAAAATTACTTAGTCACCATGCACTATCTGTATTTTTATATATATATATTCATTATACTTAATGATTGTAATACATAATGAGAATGAGGTGTTACTACATTATTCCCAATAATAGGGATAATGCTTCTAAGGTCAATAAAGAGTAATTTTCCTGTGTTCAGTTAATGGCCCTTTTATTTTGGGGACCAGGCTTTATTTTCCCTGATACCATTTCTATTTAGTATTTTTTTTTTTTGTCTCTAGAAATCTGTTCTTTTTTATCCTTCATAACAGACCAAATATTGCCTCCTTGCCATAGACATCTGCTGCCAATACATGCTGTAATTTGACATTCTGAATCACAGGTTTGATGGTATTTAAAATGTATTTACATTTGTATACAGAAACCTTTAAACTTCCTACACTACTTATTTCTTAAACTGCACCTTAGTCCAAAGTTAGACCTATATAGTTATTAGAATCTTCAGTCTAGATAATGGGAATAATTCTGTGGTTGTATTTTTCTGTAATTAACTGAAAGAATATGTAGGTCATATTCTAGTATGTTCTGGAATATTTAAGACAGATCTTAAAAACTAATTTCTAAGATGATTTGCTCTAAGATGATTCTCCTCGAGCGTAGTTTTAGTTTACTTGTTTTGTACATATATTTGAAACCAACTACTGTAGAAAATGAACAGTCCATTAGAAAATTTTGCTTTATTTTTATCTGCCAGTGAAATTTTTTGAAAACTTCACTTTAGTCAGATGGGTTTTTTTTTTTAATTAGTTTTTTGTGCAAACATAAAAGTAGTAGTTATTTGACTTTAAGTAGTTGAATTTTTCAGATTATTGGTAAAAATTATTGGAAAACAAATTTATGGGTGATAAAGATTAATCGCAACTCAATACATATGGTGTAGTTACCACAGTTTAATATGTAGCAAAAATGTATACTTGATATTTCTGAACTGTTAATTTTTCTGCTGTATTCCAACTGACTAAAACAATGTTAGGAATGCATCTTTATAAATGGGTGCTAATTGATAATGGAAATAATTTAGTAATGACTGTACAGAATGTTAATAAGCCATATGTTTGTCTGGATTTAAAATTTTTAAACAATCATTTACTAAGTCGTTTTGCTTTTACCTTGAAGAATATAAATTGTTGTTTCAATTATACAAATCAGCAAGATCTAATTTATGGCAAGAAATATTCCGTTGAAATGTTGTGCTCTAATGTGGGGAAAATGTAAATCTTTTTCATGGTTTCTACCAATGTGAAATAAAATTTAATTCTGACTTTTCTGTGACTGCTTTCTCAAATACTATTTTTAATATTTGGGTTTGCTTTCGAATGGCTGTCTATACTGAAAAGGGGGAAAATGGCAATGCAATCATAACATACATTCAGGAGAGAATTTTGATGGTGGTGTGGTTCACCTGGAATAGAACGAGGCAAGAGAAAAGCTTCTCCTGTTACTCAGTTTGAATAAGCTAAAAAATATTCTTAAATTTGGTTTTCAGTGTTTCTAATGTGTTTAAGAAGTTTTGTTTGGTGTTTCCAAGCCTCCTCCTTTCATGCAGTATTCATGGGATTTTTTAAATTAGTGTCATGAGGCAGTATCCAAATAGTTTTTTCTCTTTTTATTTCACTGTTGACTTCTAGCATTTCCCAATAAAGGAATCCTTTCTATCCCATCTCTTAAACAGTCCTTCACTTTCTGCTTCTGAGTACTTAAAATTGACCAGTTCATCTTTTTGTGAGGGAGCTTGTTCCATTTTTGGATCACCCTAATGGTAAGGGAATTCTGTATACCAAAATATTGTCTGCAACTTCTAGACTTCACAACAGCACCTTATTTCATACAATAATCTTTTATTTCATCATCCTTTTTCAATTATTGTGTTCACGGTTAGATGTGGTCAGGGTATGGTATTGTTAATCTCAAATGACAGCAGCAGTGTCTTATGTATATATAAATAATTGGGAAATTTGTCTCTATTGCAATTAGTGTTATGGCTGTTTTTTAAAAGTAGATACATGATGAGCTCCTGGCTAGTTCAGTCAGTAGAGCATGCGACTCTTGATCTCAAGGTCGTGAGTTCAAGCCCCATGTTGGGCACAGAGTTTAATTTTTTTTAAAAAAGGTTAAAAGTAGGGGCTCCTGGGTGGCTCAGTTGTTAAGCATCTGCCGTCAGCTCAGGTCATGGTCCCAGGGTCCTGGGATCCAGCCCTGCATCGGGCTCCCTGCTCAGTGGAAAGCCTGCTTCTCCCTCTCCCACTGCCCCTGCTTGTGTTCCCTCTCTCACTGTGTCTCTCTCTGTCAAATAAATAAAATCTTTTAAAAAAAGGTAAAAGTAGGGCACCTGGGTGGCTCAGTCGTTAAGCGTCTGCCTTTGGCTCAGGTCATGGTCCCAGGGTCCTGGGATCGAGTCCCACATAGGGCTCCCTGCTCCACAGGAAGCCTGCTTCTCCCTCTCCCACTCCCCCTGCTTGTGTTCCTGCTCTCGCTGTCTCTGTCTCTGTCAAATAAATAAATAAAATCTTAAAAAAAAAAATTATAAAAAAAAGGTAAAAGTAGATACATGACATATTTCCACCCTCCTAACAACATACCATTTTATTTTGTAAAAATTACTAAAAAGTGAAAAGTAAGTAGTTGAAATATTCTAGGCACTATACTAAGCATTTTATATTCTTTATTAATATAATCCTCACATCAACTTTATCTTTTGTTTTATAGGAGAAACTGATAGCTAGAGAGATGAACTGTTTGCCTGTAGTTACAGAGCTATTATGTGTAACAGCCAGGATTTAGAGTGATGTGCCTGACTCCATGGTCTAATACCTTGCCTTATGTCCCTGTGAGGTAACTTAAATGCCGTAAACAAACAAAAAAGCTTATTTCTTAAAATTCAGAACACTTAGTGCCAAATAAACTAGGGTAAAAACCAGATTACCATAAAGAATTAAAATCTCTAGTGCCCAGAGAGAACTGAAAAGGAAACTAAAAACCCATATGGTACACCTAACTTTGGGGCTCAGAAAATAACTCACTGGCGAACAGCCAGGACCCTTATAAGGGCTGTACTCTGTGCCACAAAGTGAACTAGAAAAACATTCTTCCTCCTCAGGAAGGAAAGGGGAAAACTTACCTATTCTGGCCAGCGCCCTGGATTGGAAGAGGGAGCTCTTCTCTTGAAAATGTTTAACTAGGAGCTTCTATTCATCTATATTTGGATTTTGAATTTATACTATTTCTGTGGCCTGGAAAACATAAGCTCCTAAGTTAACATCAAGAATCTCCTTGGACTGGCTCTGCCTCTTGAGCACCTGGAAGAAGTAAGTTCTTTATGGAGATGACATCTCAACATAGGCAGCATAAATTGCTGAAAGTGAGCTCAACCCCCCCCAAAGTACAAACCAGAGGAGGGAACAGTCTACCTGCCACAAATGATTCCAAGTGACACAAAAGCTAGAAAGATCATTAGACTCTCGGGAACTTAAGAAACAGGAAGTATGAGTATTAAGTGGAGACAAGTGTAAACACAGTATCAGAAATTGCAAGTTGGAAAAAATTTTCTAGAAAAACAGCCACTCAAAAAATATTTCAAATGAGAAGCACTACTTATGACAATAAAGTATTTGAAATAACGCAATGTGGAATTACAAAGACCATCAAAATAAACTATCCTATATCTATACAATGGAATGTTATACAGCTGTAAAGGAATGAGGATGCACTGTACTAATTTGGAAAGGATTCAGAATACATTATTTTTTTTTTTAAAGATTTATTTGACAGAGACACAGCGAGAGAGGGAACACAAGCAAGGGGAGTGGGAGAGGGAGAAGCGGGCTTCCCGCCGAGCAGGGAGCCCGATGCGGGGCTTGATCTCAGGACCCTGAGATCATGACCTGAGCCGAAGGCAGACGCTTAACGACTGAGCCACCCAGGCGCCCTGATTCAGAATACATTATTGATGGAAAAATAGTGTAAAAAACTAAAAGGGGTACAGGAAATAAGACCTATATTTGACTTGGGTAGAATTTACATTTTAAAAACCAAAATGCTAGAAGAACATTAAAAATCCAATAAAAGTGGTTATAGAGCATGAATGGGGAAGGAATGAAGTGGGTGAGGACTGGAGAGGAATGAGCCTGCCCTTGGGTATCCTTTTTTTGTTCTTCTGATTTTTTATTGTAAAATATAACAAAATTTTACCATTTTAACCATTTTAAGTATATAGTTCAGGGGCATTAAGTATATTCACATTGCTGTGCAACCATCACCATCCTCCATCTGCAGACTTTATCAGTTTCTCAGAGTGAAACCCCATACTCCTTATTGTTCAGATTTTTAATTGTGTTATGACCTACACAAAATATTTAAATGGATGAGTTAGCCATATTGGACACAACAGAATTGGTCTGAAATGGTGTGTGAAAGCTCTGAGGAATTTACTCAGGAAAAATCCCAGCAAGGAAAAGGAAGGGTAAGAAACTAGAAAAATAAAATTAAGAGGTCCAAAATAAAGCTAATGGAAGTTGCAGAAGGAGAGAACAGAATGAGAGAGAAGCAACATTTGAGGATAAAATGGCTGAAATTTTTCCAGACTTCAGGAAGCTTGAGAAACCTCAGATTCAGGAAGCAAAATGAGTTACTAACAGGATAAACTAACTCCTTAATGAGACATTTCATGATAGCACAACTGACCACCATAGAAAAAGATCATAATAGCAGCCAGGAAGAGCCTACTTAAACTGTCATACACAGTACACTTAAAAAGAATGCCAGAGTCAGAATAATAGAATAGTATCAGTTGTAGAGAAAATGGCAGTTTGGAACTTTCTACATAGGTAAACTCATTTAAGAGAAGGGTAAAAGAAAACCATTTTTTAAAGATTTTATGTATTTATTTGAGAGAGCATGAGCAGGGGGGGCAGTGGGGAGAGGGGCAAAGGGAGAGGGATTAGCAGACTCCCCACTGAGCAGGGAGCCCCCAACACAGGGTTTGATTTCAGGACCCTGAGATCATGACTTGAGCCGAAGGCAGATGCTCAACTGACTGAGCCACCCAGGCGCCGCAATAGAAAACAATTTATAAGTAAGTAGGAAGTTTATAAGGAAGAGTGTACTGACAGAACCTTTAAAAGATGTTCTTTCAGAGGAAGGAAAAGGATCCAGAGGAAAGGAGAGCTACAAGCAATGGTAACTAGAGAAGCACTGATTGCATAAAACTAATACTAATTTGGGAGCTGAAACACTAGATAAAAATGCAAAAGTACATGCAAAAGAATATATATAAGAAAATATAAAATATAAAATTGTATTTTATACCAGCAATATTTATAATTGCTCAACAGAAAAAAGGAATACTTACGTGTAAATCTAACAAATCATGGACAAGATTTGGAGGCTGAAAACTACAAAAGGCTGATGAAAGACATCAAAGGAGATCTAAATAAATGGGAATTTATATCATGTCTGTGGATTAAAGGACTTAACATAGTGAAGATGTTAATTCTCCCCAAATTGATAGTTTGATGCAATTCCTATTAGAAACCCAGCATGATTGTTATAGCTGTACACAAGATTATTCTAAAATTGATATGGAAAAGCCAAGGAGCTAGACTACTTAAACTATTGAAAAAGAAAGTGGGAGGGGAGCCTGGATGGCTCAGTTGTTTGAGTGTCCGACTCGGTTTCAGCTCAGGTCATGATCTCATGGGTCTTGAGATCAATCCCTGCTTAG